CTCGGATTGGTTCCTCAGTCAGGCTGAGCAATCACTGAGCCTGATTTCTCAGTCAGGCTACATCTGAAGCACACCGCTTAGACGCATGTCCCAGACACAGGTATGTCCTCCATTCCAGATACAGGCATGTACTCCTAGCAGCACACCAGAATAAGAGGAAGATATACCTCATCCTTCCCAAAAGTCACTGGTAGAAGCAAGACTATGAAATATCCTAGCAATTTCTTAGTTGTGCAATTGGAGGACCAGGACTGCAGAGTGTCCTCAAGTCCATCTGCCTCGCTTTAAGCTCCAGCTCACTGACCTTGTTATCAGGTTCAACATACCTCAACTCTCTGATCTGCTTATTATAGGGCTCAGACACAGTACCAAGATCATCAGCTGGTAAACTGAGCCCCAGTTGCTGTCTGTGCATCCACTTGCAGCCACAAAAAGTAACAGGTGCATCTACTTCAGCTTTTTAGCTTCATCGGGATTACACTTTTTGAAGCCAGTTTCCCTATTATCCTGGTTTACCGTGTGTTGTTTCATAGCATGGAACAGTTTTGGGTTGTACAAGCTAAACTGCTTTCAGATCAAGTCAAAGGAGCAGATCTAATACCTGCTACCTGGCAAGGAGGCTGCACAAGACAGAATAAGACTAGAGCTAGTTGAAAGTAAAACCACTACAGCATACACAGCATGAAGGCTGGGCACTCAGCATTAGCTTTCTCTACGAAACCCCTCCTTCGCCCCACACTAGTGTGAGCACAGCCACTGTGTATCCCTCAATTTATTCATCTTTCGCTGGTTAAAAAACTGACTGAAATTGCCATGTGCTGCTGGCACCCATGACTTCCCCAGCCCCAGCAGCATCCCACAGCTACCACCAACCCACAGTGAGTTACTATCCCCCCACTTTTCCCCCCTACATACCTGTGCCTTTGGCATGTGATCTCTCAACTTGTGCATCACAGCACCCAGACCTTACTCGCTCATGGTTTCCAGCCCAAGTCTTCACAGAACCACCTTCAGAGAGCATCTGCACAGCCCCCAGTCCCTTCTAGCAGCTGCTTGTGAGTAGGTGCCAGGTGAGGAGGTGAGGAGCCCTCCACCAGCCCCTGTGGCCTTCTGTCCCAGGGAGCAGTGCTGCTGCTGCCTGTGCTCATGCTGCATTGCTCACAGGGGTTCCGCACTCCTCTGCAGTGCTCAGAAAACAGCCAGCATCCAGGCTAAGTTCTTGACAAAGGAAGGTTCCCCTAAGATTAACGTCTCTGTGGAGATGAGGAATCGCTCAGCACTTGACATTTTAAGCAGCGAGGGGCACTCCTGATAGTGGGAAATTCTGGACTCAGGAGTAATCTGGGAACAAAAAGAAATGATGTACTTCAGGTAAATTGTTCAAGTAATCCAAAATTGTTCTTCATACCCTCTAGCAACAGCGATCTAAACACCTGAAATTAGAGAATCTTATAACAAATGGCTCAGAATAAACGGAAGACTTTATGTACAACTATTTATATGCAACACTTTAATACTCTTAAAAATTCAGAAATCTAAAACTCCTTATGGGCAGAGCACGCACAACATTGACTAAGGTCAGTACTGCTGCAATGCCAATACACCTTGTACAACGATTTCCTTAAACTTTTGGATTCAGAGTAAATATTTCTATTGCCATTTCACTGGAAATGTTGTGACTGGAAGAAAACTGAAGTATTCTAATGAGCGCATGATATATAACTTGAATAATAAAAATGAAGAGTCCTGACTGAGGGGGAGCAGAAAAGCAATACAGGCAGCACCAGGGGAAAGTGGGCTAAAACGTTTCAACATGCCGCAGGAGCAGCTGGTGTCTTGACAGGTTTAGCGCTAACAGTACAGTCCCAGTTTTACTGTGTTACACCAGTATTGCAAGCATTGAAAAACTAAGGCAATCTTTAAAAATATGTTTTTCTAGTAGTAAGAGCCCATTCACAAATTTTACGGGAAAAAACAGCTTTCCTTCCTAAAGAAAACTCCAGCCCAAAGCAGACAGAAGAAACAAGAAACTGAGCAAGTGTGGGCTGCACTATACAGCAAGAGCAATCACTAGTTTTGGAAGACTCTCTTCTGTTTTACAACCAAATATGTCTTGCATTAAGTTCCCAAGAACTGGATAAAGGTTTCTTACTGTACCCAGTGTGACCAAGTTGTATTTCTGCTAACAAAGGCAGCTTTTGTTTCCCAGGGGGGGTCATCAAAGGTTTTCTGCCAAAACTTCCTTTGAGAGAAAACTGTCCGCTAAACACATATTTTACCAGGAAGATTCTGCTTTCCACAGATCTTCTTGTTTTGGTGGGTTTTTTTTCTTTTTTTTTTGTTGCTGTGTTTTGTTTTGTTTTTTTCCCCAGAACTCTGAAAAGTTTTGGTTTACAGGAGTAAATTACTTGTTCATTTTTGTGGGTTTCCAGTGAGGACAAATAAACAAAACCAGAAACAATTGCAGCTTGCCTGGCAAGGCAGTCTACATATTGCTGAGTAGCCTGGTGATACCCTGAGGCTAAAATAACACAAGTTATGATGGTCTATTTGTACCCTAGCAGCAACCTGTTATAATTTACGATAGAATCTGCCCTTGCTCATTTTTTGTCAGTGCTCTTTACTCCCTTTTATTACCCCAACAGAAACACACAAAAATAGGATAATACTGAGGTGATTTTATACAGACATTGTTAAAATTTGGGAGGCACAGGTGCCTCTGGGGGAGGCTGAAAAAAGGCTGACATATAGTCAGGAGAACCACACATACAGTCAGAAGAACCATTAATATGTACAGCATGTGCAGCATGACCCTGCAATGGCAAAATCATGTAAAACGTTTGATTTATGTGGATAAACCTGGATATATAATACTGACAAGAAATTTGCTCTAATGTGCTATATGAACTGAAATGCTACCAGAGTGAGGCATAGCAACTTACGGTAATTTCTTTCCTGAGTGACCAGTCAAAGAATGGGCTGAGTTTATTTATGAAGGTCCAAATTTCTCACAATTGTGATCTTTCAACAATTTGCAAGGCAGCAAAATGGACTGAGAGGCCCTTTCAAGAACTTTAAAAGGAAATTCAATATCCTTGTCTATTTTCTTTGAATGGTACCAAGGAGTCTATCTAAAAAAGTACGAAACTGTCTGAGCTGTCTATCAATTCATTTAGCCCTATTAACATGGTACATTTGTAGTTTTGCTTTTTGACAGAAATCACTGAAGTTATGGAAAGGGTAACAGTTTCTCTCCTGAGACAGCTGTATTCTGTGACAGAACTGACCCCAAATTCTCAGACACTTAATAAAGAAACAGAAACAAGTTTTCTTCTCACAATCTAGGTATCAAATTATGCTATTTCAGAGTTCACATGTTGCTATAATTGCTGTTTATGTGGTTTTTGTAAGAGTCACTCCAAATTCTTCCTAGCATCCACATTAAATATTTACATTCAGGCCTAAGATGTTGTGTAAAATTTTAATAGCATACCCTCCTATTTAAAATTATAATCACAAAACCTCAACCCAAATCCTAGTGCATATATGAAGTACAACATTCTAAACACTGTTTAAACTGTCATTTCTTCCCAAAGTACAAGGATGTTTATGCTTTTGCCTAAGGCGAGATAAACAGAGCAGCATACCACTCCATATTTGTAAATGTTAACTCTGCAAGGTAGAAACTGGCTTCTGTATGCACCAAGCTTCTGTTTCTTCACTGCTGTAAACGCCATAATATGACATATGGGTATGTATACATTCAAATAACAAAGATATATGGCCCCGCCACAGAAAAACGTGCAGTCTCACTCTATTCCACATATCATCCTGACTCTAAGAAACTTTTCAAAATTGCCTCCAGAAATGCACCTTAGGTACCAGACCAGTGGCCTAATAGTATATTTGGGATAATTCCACGGGTCTGTGGGATAGTTGCACCCTCAAATCTAGTGTATATCAGAATTAATTTTCCTAGAGTCAGTGGGGACTGTCTCTGCTGCTGTGACCATGGTAGAACTATACTACTTCTTTAAAAATTTTCAAGAAAATGCTATGAAATTTAATAAGGATAACATATCGTCCCACCAACTGAATATCGTATAAGGCCAAAATACTCACACCAACAGGTAGAGAGCAAAGAACCCAAGGACAGCCCTTTTATGTGTATGTGTCATTCTAAAATAGACTCCTGCAAGCATCCTGGTTAATATAACACACTGTTTGCCAAATATGTACTTTAAAAATAGCAGTCAACTGTATGGCATACCTTGAGTGGTGTTAAAGCTGTCTAGGTTTTGTTATACAAAGACTCTGATAGGTTATAACATGCTGCCAGTGGAAAAAGAAGTGAAACACCAAAAACCAAGCTGCAGAAGATTCTTGAATGAGTACTTAATGGGGAAGGTTAAACTGTAACAGGCATGTCTTTAATAAATCGGAGCACTTAGATGCTAAACATGGATCTCCAATGATTCAGATGTTTATAGTTTGGCAACTAAACCTACAGTTGGGCATCTAAGGAAAAGTGTCCAGTATACCAGAAGTGTGTATACCTACAGCTCTAACAGCACATACGTATTGACATTCTGCCCAGAGGAGCCTGAAGTTACACACTCTTCTTTTAAAATCTTGGCATAGATTTCAGCTCTAGTTGTCTTTCTTTTTGGGAGAAACTAATAAGATGTTTCGCACCTCTACTAAACCCTGATCAATTGATTTTTGTCCCAAACTTCTATGTCTCCCTTTTTTCAAAACAAATTCCAGCCTGTTTGACATCGAACTTCGCAAAGCAGAAGTTTTTGTATTTGTTAATACTGGCCCAAACAGTATTAACCTCAACTGGGACACGTTATTAATTTGTGTTACTAGAAATTTATGATCAATAATACTGATCCTTTTTCTTTCATACAGATAAAAGGAAGTTGAGGACATGGTTGCTGCTGTTTTCAAATGAACGCTAACTGTGCGATTTGGAATTTGTTTTTGACTCATTGTAGGTCCGCAGCAAGAGCAAAGCAGCTAAGGCTGGACTGTGTGAGGGAGATGAGGTGGTGTCTATCAACGGCAAGCCTTGTGGAGACTTAACTTATGCTGAAGTTATCGTTCTGATGGAAAGCCTGACTGACGTCCTGCAGATGCTTATCAAGAGGTACAGGAATGCTCAGAATGCTTTGGTGCGATTCTGTTCAGTGAACCACATGGAAAATGCTAGGTTTGAATGCGCTCATTTTGCAGACATATACTGTGAGCTTCTGATAGTTCTCTTATTTATGTCTGTGACTCTGCTTGTCTGTATGGAAAAGGGAGGGAAGACAAAGTATTTGATCTGAAGGACTTAATGTATATAATTTGAACAGTACAGGTCAGGCACAGAATTAAGAGTACAGTCTCCAAACGTAACGATTTTATTTTTCATTAAGTATTCTTAATACTTACAAGGTGTCCATTACCATATCTGCATACTGCAGAGTCTTAAGTTCAATTATTCTTTCTACCCCTTTGAAGTAGTGAAGTGTTGTTATTCCCCATAGATAGGGAAGTGAGGCTTACAAAAAGCAAAGGCTGTATAGATGGAGAAAGTGTGTTACACAGATATGCCTTGATGATGACATGGCAAACAGTCTTCTTGGGTGGTAAATGTGCTAGTAGTCAGGAGGGGGAGAGGGTCTGGAAATCATGAATTCTATTTCTGTAGCTGTTAACACTTCACTAGATGAGGTGGGGCAAGTCACTTACAGCTCTCTGGGTCTCAGCTTCTCCATTTATAAAATAGCGATAGTGAATTTCAGTTTTCTTTGAAAATGCTTTGAGCTTCTCAGAGTAGAGAACCTTCAAGTAAATTTGCAAGCAAGCCAGTATTACTGCTCACTGCACATCAGTCTTTTCTAATGACTGTTCTGTAATTGTCATCAGTGTAATGCATGCAATCTTGACTTCAAAACCACCTACAGTAAGCACATTCTCCCCAGGCTTCGTGAATTCAGACAAGATGAACTCTGAATTGCCTTCAGTGTGGGTAAGAAGAGGAAGAAAAGACCTGAGCACACTCGTAAGGAATTATGGCTTCCCCCCCTGAACTACTGTAGTTCCCTGCGTCTGCTCTCCCACAGGCAGGAGCAGGACAGAAGGGGTCAGGATTCATCACAAGAACTAACAGGGCAGAGTCACTGGAAAGGCCGAAAGGACTCTGGTGCAAAAAGGCACTTGTCTCTGGTTACCAGGAATGTCTAGACAGCATGTGAAATTCCTCTGTGGTTTCTGCAACCTGTGCAAAGGAACTTTCCTAAAGCGTCTAGTAATTCAAAGTTACAATCTGCCTCCAAAACAAGATGCTCTCAAGGAGTATTCATTCTATTTATAACAGACCTTTTGCATGGCCTGTCTGTGCTTGTTGTCTTGGGCTGAGTAATGGATCAATGTGATGAGATGAGGGGAACAGTGATAGCTGAGGATTACAGCTTACCTTCTCCATAGGGTTTGAATGTTTCTCATGTGCTATCTGCATTCTTATGTTTTCAATTCATAACATGACTACTGGAACTGCACTTGTAAAACTTACATTTGTGGCTGACCAGCTGTCTTCTTTGCAGCCATAGAAATAGCTCCCTGTGCTTTGACTCCTGCCTGTTGCTGCACTATAACTGATATTTCAGTTGGTCTGAAGGCCATAGTATGTTCTAGCTGAAAGTGACAGCACATCTTCCATTCACTCTGTTGCCCCTGCTTCAATGTATGGTGAATGGCAAGACATGTCCTGAAAATCAGAACCAAAACAGTGCTTAGACCACATAATTCAGTGTTTCATGGAATGAAACAGCGTCTGTTAGAAATCTTAAGAAAACTGCAGTTGCTCAACACTCTGAAGGTGCCTAAAATGCTCTAAAGGAATTCACCATGGGAATCTGAATTTCTTCCCATCAGCTCATATTCCCCAACTCCCAGCCCCTACTATCAGTATCTTTATGGGAGAATAAACGGCAACACTTCTCTTCTCCTGCCACCTCCTTTTTGGGTAGTAGCCCTCTCAGCACTATCATCAGAAGGATTTTTCAGGAAGTGTCTTAGCATCCTCCAAGAGCAAGGAGAAGCAAACCTCTCCTTTCCTGAGTAGCCACTTGTTAGCAGCCATCTCAAGAAAATGCTGGAAATCATGAGGAAACGATAATGCCTAATCAAAGTGGTGTTCCAATGGTAATCTTTATATCCAAGCTGGCAGGGAAGAATACTTCTCCTTGGGAAGCTTTGGACTGTTCCTGAACTATGAGCACAAAGGATAAGATTTTCATAGACAATCATTGTTGGCCTAATTCTGCTCTTACTAAGCTTACTGGGAGGAAAATTAGGCTTTTAAAGTAGTTTTTAAAATGGTAATTGGCCTTTGATGTCTACAAAAAGTTCTCCCAATCCCCTGTAAACCACAGTCAGTTACTGAACAGCAGTACCCACAAAATCTTTGGTTCACAGGATCAGAGGAAAGAGACACCCTGCAGGGCAGGCACTCTCCAGATGCCATGTGGGGGGAACATCTTACTGACCTTCCCGACAAATGCTGAACAGATGTATCCGGGAAACATCGAGAGTGGGGACAGAAACAGGAACGCTAGCCTGCCCTTTTCACATCAGTGTTAGCAACTCTTGGGCAACTGCTGAGTCTAGAAAGAAAATTTCTAGGGGGAAGTAGGGAGTGTGCTCAGTGCATACCAAAATGAAATGCACCATGTAGGGAGTAAAACATGACTCTGAGACAAACCCTGCCGTGCTGACTCCATGACTTCTGCTTCCTTCCTGGAATTACACCAGGGGTGTTGCTCCTGCAGTGAGCTGGAAAGACCTGAAACAAAAATAATAATTTGACAAAACTGAATCTTAAATGACAAAAAAGAGATCAGACCCAGTACTCTGCCTCTTGACACGTGCATACACGTTTATGTCTATATAGAGTAGAAGTATATCCGTAAGTAGCAAGGGCCTTTTAAGGTGGAAATTTCTCTCTCAGACATACACACAATCACTCAGCTACCAATAAAGGCTAACATTTAGCTGTCCCAGCTCCTAGTTTCATATCTTACAAGGAAATGTTTACAGATTTCTGTAATTTATCTGTACTTAAGAGCAGTACAATTGATCATCCAAATAGCATAAGATGATGGAATCCAGCAGCACTCACAAGGAGTTCCTTAAATTAAAATCTGTCTGACCTTTATGTAGCTCCATATGTGGTTTAATGGATGTTACATGATTTGTACCATTTGAGGCAGACCCAGACTGCTACAAACAGTACACTGCATGGCTAGAAATGCTAGTGATATTGAAGTTTCTTCAGTGAACTGACAGATTTATTTCTTCTGTTGCTTTTTCCAGCCTTTCTTCGTAGGGGTTTCAAAAGTTTCAGAATACCTGGGACTCGCCTTTGATTTCAGACATCTCTGTAATACTTGATATTAATACTTCACCGCGGGTACCTACCACTTCCCTCATTTGAAAAAGTGCTTTGCTACCGTCTAGTCAACAGAAAGCCTTAATAACTTGCTGCAGTATTGCTGTATAGAAAAGGTTTCTGCTTGAATTAATAGTAGTCAGTACAGCTCAGAGTACTCAAAGAAGAAGCTAGAGAGTACACTAGGAGTCCTAACACCAGTGAAACAGCCTAACTGGGCCAGGGGAATGAATAGTTTAAAAAGGGAGCTACACTGAGGTATATATTTGCCAGTTAGAAATACATTTTTTTTTTTAATAAGTAGGAAATATTGTATGGGTTCACTACTCTTTTTCACTGGATCACTGGAATAGGCTCAGAATGTTTTAATTATTCCATGATATATAAGGATGATGATCCTCACAGGAATTCTCTGAATGTGTATTTTAAGTATTTATTTCCCTCCCTCTGATCCTCATCCAGTACTTATCTATTCCTTAGAGAGTAAACTATTTGGGACGGGAACTATATGTGAGGATGGTGCCTAAAACAGTTCCAGTAGTAGCCAGAGAACCAAAAATTAACCACTCTTCTGGTGTCACGCGAAGTTAATTTTCTCACGCACATGTGAAATATGAAGAAGTATTGTCCCAGAAGTCTCAGTAGCATTTGTCTGGAAACACTGCAACAGAAATGTGTCTGTGAAAGCATACTGATGTTAGGAATGATATAACGCAACACTGCAGAAGGATGGTAGTAGGATCATAGTTCTACTGCAGTAGTGTAATTTCCCTCTTACTGAACTGTTAAGTTGAAGAATTTTGAAAGATACAAAGATGCTTCAATTTAAGACCTCTACATTCTGGGAAAATTCTTCTACTTAAATGGACCTGCTGGCAGGTACCACAATTAATATAGGGTAAAAAATACTATACAGAATTTGCTTTTGTTACTGTACTTACAATTGCTGTACTTACAGCAGCTTAATTTCTTGAATTACTTGTTTATGTATGTGCAGATCCTCCAATGGAATAAATGAAGCCTTGAGTGCTGAAAGAGAAAATGGAAAGCATGATAACATAAAAAATGAGGACTACAGGGAGAGTACTACACTGCAAATTAACACAGCAAAAGAAATACCCCATGGAGATTTATGCATCACAGAGATATACAGTGAGACTCACCAGGGAGCAGAAGAAAGCAACATACACTTTTCTGAAACGAAACAAGAGACCACACAAAGCCACAGAATTACTCCTAAAGTGACAGGCACCTCCAAAGTGCTCCTGACAGATGAGGCTTTCAGAGGGAAGACAGAAGAAAGAAGGCCAGGTACTATGGTTGAGCTGCAGTTATCCCTCTCAAATGACGCACACAAGGGCACCAATGCTCCTGCTGTGACTCTCCTAGGGGCAGAAAAATGCACCCCTTCAGGAAGAGGACCCAGTGTACAACAAGATGGGACAAGCCCTGTAATCGCAGTTCCCCTGGGAGCGAAAGAGGGCAACATCCAGTGGTCAAGCAAAGTAGTCCAGTTTTCTAGTGGCAAAGAGGTCAAGAGGATCCAAGGTGCAGCTCCATCTCTCCCCAGGGTGGAGGTGATCCTAGACTGTTCGGAGAGGGAGAAGGAAGCACCCAGGTCTCCAGCTGAAAGGGGGTGTGTTGATTCTCAAGTGGAAGGAGGGCAGTCAGAAGCACCTCCTTCCCTCCTCTCCTTTGCAATCCCATCAGAAGGCACAGAGCAGGGAGAAGACGACCAGCACTCTGAAAGGGATCACAGACCTCTCAAGCACAGGGCGAGGCACGCAAGTAAGTATGTCCCATCTAATCATTTGCACTGCCTGAGGGTATCTTCTGTAACTTTAAACATAATTTCAGAATTTAGACTGCATTAGAAAAAAAATGTTTAGAGTTTTTTTTCTGCAGTTTTCTAACTTTCCCTCTGTCTTTTTCTTTTAAACAATGTTTCTGTTCTTGCTTTATATACTTTTTCAAGGTAATACAATGCTCCTGGTGATGAGCCAGGAATATACCCATGCCTTAACTGTGCTGAATAACTTTGCTCAGTAGACTTCCACTTTGAATTTAACTCATGACTTTGCCCAACTAAAAATACTTTTATCTCCAAAAATGGCTGAATTCTGCAGGTCTTCTAATGTATATTCAGAGGCAATCTGTAGAATATTAACAAAAAAAAGCAAGTTGCTTGCACATGTCTAACTGAATCCTGTGGATTTCTCCTTTTATAGCAAAACTTTTGTATTGTCATTTGCATCATCTAAAATCAAAACCATGCCGCTGTTCTTAAGAGTTAATAAAAAAGGCTAGTAGAAAAGCTTGATGTTGCCTGCAGAAGAGATTTTGACAGACACTAGCATATGTATAACTGTTACATGATCCTTTCAGTTTTGTCAGTCTTCTCTAGACTGTAAAGTGAACGTGCTATTTCTTCTGACTCTCATACCCAGAGGTCAGCTTCAAAATGCATCCAAGAAGTTTACATGAAAGTAAATTTGCAACTGGATCCAATATTAATTAACTGAGTGTGGATACATATTATTTATTTATTTATCTGTTGATTTATTTATTATTTTATTCATTTGGGACCTTTCTATTGGTTGCTTGCTCTTTCCCAACAATGTTAAGAATCCTGTCTGGGGATTTAGTAGCAGTATGTCAAAGGTGCTTGAATGTGTGCAGTGATATAGTGTAGCAACAAGCTATTTCATATGCAGTGTCGGAATTAGTCTGCTAAGCCACTGCTAATTCCTCTGTAAGCATATTTTTAGCATGATAACCATTTGTATCTTATTGGCAAGTGGATTAAGCAGTTACTTATGCCTAAGTGCCTGTATGCAATCCACATATTTTTGGCATATTAAATGAAGCATAAAAGAAAAGTGCACATGCTTTACATTTTGGCTGAGAATTTAGAACCAACTGTGGGACTGTGCCTGTCTTAGAGAATTACTTGCAGTGCCTCTCTAATAAGACAAAAGTACAAAGAACGAACTACATATTATGTGATAAACTCTTCTTTCAAGTACGGCACAGATTCTGTCCTTTTCCAATCTCAACTATGACAGTCTCAATTCCTTTGAACCTAGTGACAGATCATAATCCTCAGGAACCACTGATTTAATCTATAAAAATGTTTGCTTTTATTATTATTATCCTGTCTACAAATTAGAACAAACAAATTGCCAAGCACAGGGGAATAATCTGTGTGCAGGAAATACTATGAATGTTTTTTCTAAAATTAGAAATTACAATGCAGCATTTAAGTCTAAACTAGAGAAGAACATTGATTATAGTTATTTGATCTCTTTAGCAGAAATTTTGTCTGTAAATAGTAATCAGATTATATTTACCTGAGCAGGTAACATTTCTTCTGCCATCTTTTGAAACTATTGATTAAGTAACTATTCAGATGAATGACAAAAAAATACGCCAGCAAAAGGAAAAGTTTCAATTTTTTCTTTCCACAGAACTGTATAGGAACCTACTGAACCCCCTTCCTAGAAAAACACTTACTGCTGATGCAAGTAGCTTAGTTGAAAGCATAGAACTTACATGCTGAAGTGCGACCATTTCTGTTTGGAAAGGCACTCTAAGACCAAAGCCCATGCTTTTGGAAAATGTCTTTGGTGATTATTGTAAGCATTTGGACTGTCAAAGGACTGAGCCAAGGATGTTGTGATTTGGCCCTCTCAAAATAAAATATTACAAATTGCTGGTTCAGGTGTCATGCCCTTTTCTCTTTTATAGGTTCTTGTGAGAACCATTAGTCCAGTCAGGCTGTTGGCTGGCATAATGGCAAAACCCCAATTGTCTTTAATAGGAGAAGGATCAGACTCCGTCTACTGACATCTCTAAAAGGATCACTAACAGAAAATATACCACATGGCTTTCTTTAATGAGTTTGCTTTGTTTATACTAGCAAAATATACTAAATAATTTACTGTTCTCTTTTCATTTTTCAGAGGCATGCTTTTTCCTTTTGAAATTAAGTGGGAGGGGATCATCTATTTAGGCAGGAACAGCTTTAAATTCTAGCTTTTTTTAAAGGGAGAAGCTATTGAGGCTGTCATTCATGAGATGCAGTGGTACAATATAAGGAAGGAAAAAAAACAGGAACACCACCTGTCCCATGAGGCACATGCTCCATGTCACATAACAGGGAAGCAGTCATGCTGATATACAGTGCATCTATCAGCTTTACAGCTGCACCTATTCCTGTTCCACATGACTTGATGAAAACCAGTAAATTATGCTTTAAGAAATATGTCTTATTGATATAAGCTAGTGAATACTCTTGAGAAGTTAGCTGAGCCTCCTCCATTCAGTTCTTAAATCTATATTCACTGTTGCCACATTTTCAAAACAAATATTCTGGAGCTGTTACATCCTATACAATTCTGGATTATGTTACAGGCAAGTAATGCTTGTTAAAAGACTGAAACCTGCTCTCATTTACCATGGCGAAGCTCCCATGTCTTCCAAGGGGCTGAAAGTTAATGCTAATGGTTTCTCTGTATGCCTTTTTGGATATACACTTGCTTTTAAATAGCTAATACATAGAAGCATACCGACTTTTATCAACTATACACATTTTGTAATACATATGAGCAAAATAAACACATATATGGCAGGAGCAGCTGCCACCATCACACAGAATACACCCAGTTTCATTTGGTCCCAGGCGTTAACCAGTCACGGGCCTGGCTGGCTGGGAATGTCTGCCGTAAGCCTAGGAACTGTGGTCAAATATTTGGTAAATGCCAGGCCATAGAAAGTGAATAAATGAGAAAATATCATTTCCCTGTTGCTGTTGAGACTACTTATGGTAATAAAAATTGAGAACACTAGAAATACACATGTAACGTTCCTGTTGAACTAAGGAAGTCCTAAAGAAAGTGGTGTAGCCTTTGAACTTGCGTGGGTGTGACTCTAAGGAATGCTGGGTACAGAATTACAGCACGGTTGATATTGTAGGAAAAGCTTAAGTATGATGACCTCTCCATGCAAAAGAAAATAAGTGTTTTAATACAGGGGAAGGGGACAGTGGGTAAATTTCAGTATAGATAAATGCAGAACTATTTGTTACTAGTCTCCTTGTATTTTTCGAGGCTGCACGCAATTAAATGTGCACTTCAACTCTTTCCACAGGGCTCCGGCGAAGTGAGAGTCTGTCAGAGAAGCAGGTCAAAGAAGCCAAATCTAAATGTAAAAGTATTGCATTGCTGCTGACAGCAGCTCCCAATCCCAATTCCAAGGGGGTTTTGATGTTCAAGAAGCGTCGTCAAAGGGCAAGGAAATATACTTTAGTTAGCTACGGTACAGGGGAGTTAGAACGTGACGAAGACGAGGGTGAAGAAGGTGAAGGCGAAGAGGGGGACAAAGAGAACACTTTTGAAGTGAGTTTGCTTGCAACAAGCGAGTCAGAAATAGATGAAGATTTCTTCTCTGACATTGACAACGACAGTAAGATTGTGACATTTGACTGGGACAGTGGTCTACTTGAGGTTGAAAAGAAGACAAAAAGTGGAGACGAGATGCAGACTCTTCCAGAGAGCACAGGTAAAGGGGCCCTCATGTTTGCCAAGAGGCGACAGAGGATGGATCAGATTACAGCTGAGCAAGAGGAGATGAAGGCACGCATGGTGCATACAGAGGAACGAAAGGAAGCCACAGCCACCATGTCAGAGAACTTCCAGAAAGTAAGCTCTTCAGTTTACCAAACTAAAGAGGAAGAAATGTCAAGACAGCAGACCTGTGTGAGCAAAAGCTACACAGGCATCAGCCAGAATCATAGCAAAATGGTACAACAAAATGGCTTTGGCTTAGCACCAGACATAAACCTCTCTTTTCAGTCCTCTGAAGCTCAAAAAGCAGCGTCTTTGAATAAAACAGCTAAACCCTTCCCTTCTGGTGTTCAAAACCGAGCAGCTGCACCGTTTTCACCCATAAGAAATGTCACTAGTCCTCTTTCAGATATACCGGCACCACCTCCTTACTGCTCTATTAGCCCACCACCTGAGGTTTTATACAGACCTGTTTCCGCTCCTGTAGCCAGCAGAGCTGCCCCACCTGTGTGGTCACCCACCGAGCCATCAGAACACATAGCATCCAGAGATGAACGGATTGCGGTGCCAGCCAAAAGAACTGGGATACTGCAAGAGGCAAAGAGAAGAAGCACTTCAAAACCTATGTTCACGTTCAAAGAAGCACCCAAAGTAAGTCCTAATCCCGCCCTGTTGTCCCTTGTACACAATGCAGAGGGCAAAAAAGGTACTGGAGCTGGTTTTGAGTCAGGACCTGAAGAAGACTACCTCAGTTTGGGAGCAGAAGCTTGCAATTTCATGCAGACTCAAGCATCTAAACAAAAGGCCCCTCCCCCTGTTGCTCCAAAGCCTTCACTCAAGGTCTCTCCTACTGCTGGTACTCCAGCGTCACCAGTTTGGTCACCTTCAGCTGCGGCTTCTAACAAGGCCCCTTCTTTCCCAGCACCAGCCTCACCTCAGGCAGCATATCCTGCGCCACTCAAATCTCCACAGTATCCTCATTCTCCTGCCCACCCCCCAAGTACTCTCAACCTAGCTGGTCCTTTCAAAGGGCCTCAGGCAACCCTAGCCAGTCCAAACCATACACCCAAGACAACACCAGTCACACCAAGTGCTGAGGGAACAAAGCCACCCTTTGAGATGCCACCAGCTATGAGTGGAAAAGGAGCACAGCTATTTGCCAGAAGGCACTCTCGAATGGAGAAGTATGTGGTAGATTCAGAGACTGTGCAGGCAAACATGGCACGAGCCTCATCTCCAACTCCATCTCTACCAGCTTCTTGGAAATATTCATCTAATGTCCGAGCACCTCCACCTGTTGCTTATAATCCCATCCACTGCCCATCTTATCCTCCTGCTGCTACCAAGCCTTCCTCTAAGTCCACTGCCACTACCAAAAATACAAAAAGAAAACCTAAGAAAGGTCTCAATGCTTTGGATATTATGAAACATCAGCCTTATCAACTCGATGCATCTTTATTTACTTTTCAACCTCCTAGTACTAAGGAAAGCCTTGGTATTAAGCAGACATCGAAGTTGTCTACTTCAAAGCAAGCTCTACCTTTAAGACCACCTAGTGCTGGCTCTCCTACTAATGCCCGGGCATCTTCAGTGTACTCCGTGCCAGCCTACAGTTCACAACCTTCGTTCCAGTCAAATGCCTCTATCCCAGTAAATGAATCGTATTCACCTACAGCCTACTCTGCATTTTCTAAGCCAGAAACCACCACATCTTCTTTGTTTACTGCTCCAAGGCCAAAATTTTCAGCAAAGAAAGCTGGCGTCACTGCACAGGTGTGGAAGCCATCAATTATTGAAGAGTAAACCTTATAGCCGAAACTTAGTGTCCGTTTTGCTTGCAACCAATCATTTGCAGTGGTAACCTGGCACAGAAACAATGCCAATAGTGTACTTAATACCATCAGATGTATCACCTCAAATCTGGGTCCAAAATACTTGAAATTTTTTAAGGAATCAAAATAGATACAAATTTTAGCGCATTTATGCATATTATCAGATGATTTAATACACGTAACATCCTGAAATTAATAGATACCATTGTACTAAGTAAGCAGGACACTAGGTTTTTGCTTTAGGACTACTACAACAGAAACAACAGTAAGCAATATTCCTGGTATGTCAAATTAATAGAGAAGAGCTTTCTTTCTGCTCCCCTCCCCAAGTATGCTCTAATGACCTAGGGATTTGAGAACTTTTTTTTTCTTTCTAAAGAAGTGCCTTATTAAATGACATTCATAGTAATATGTATTACTAACACAGCATAAAATAGATACAGTATTAGACTCTGACTGATCACTAGCAGAATACAACTGGATAGACCTTTGGCCTGCACAGAGCCCCACTGAATTCAGTCAGAATCTGTCCTGGCTCAAAGGTCCTTCCGCAGGAATCTAGTTGATCGGCCAGGGGTTTAGTTTGTAAGCTATGTGGATCAGCTGTGATCCAAAATCATGAATTGCCTCTGTGATTTCACAGAGAATGTCCTATAAGAGATACTGGAGTGTTCTGAAGACTAAGAGATGGAAAGACAGCTGGAAAAATTGTTAAAGATTTCCCATTTTGGGGAAATTTGACATCCCAAGTGCAGACATATTTTTAGCCAAAGTTTGCTTTGAATCCAGCAAGTAAGATAGGAGCCAGTAAATCAAAATTATTGAACAGAGAGGTGAGCTGGGTTTTGCAGCTGCAATGTAATGCAATAGATTCTGTGAAAGCACAGTGATTAAGAACTGAAGGGATACATATATTCAAGAGTACTCATTCTTGCAACCAGAGTAGTACATGCCACAGAAATTAGCATTTAACACTAAATCATAAATATGACCATGTCTTCCTATTGGTCTCTCGTACACATTTTGTTATTTTCACTTGGGGCCTTACAGTGCTTCTTCCCACTTTAAATCTTTTTACTCTGGTCTTATACTTTCACCTTTTACTTGTCATATTGGGGCCTAAGTATTGAAATACTGCTACTGTAGAAAATTCTTAAGGGTCCGTGGTCTGCAAACCTACTGTATAATATTGCAGTGAACACACGGTCTTGCTGAAATCAAGGAGCTATATTCAAATAGTTAAGCATGTTTTTCAGTAAGCAGTCCTGTTAACACTAGTGGTGCTAGGTCTGAAACAAGGTGTTGTTTCACACAACTAAGGGTATTAAAATCCATCCCAAGTGTGAAGTTAAAGATTAAAGCATCACTCTGAATAAAGGTGGCAGAATCTGTTGATATATATGTTTAAACTACCATCCAGCTAGCTATAGACCAATTTATGGATCATAGGGGTTTTAGTAGAACTATCTATCTTGATGAAGAAAACATTCCTGAGTATGAACAACATCTCCTTAGTTTGGTCCCATGATCTTAACTCAAACTGCAATCAAACTTGAGAAGAATGCATTTGGTTGTAGGTGCAGAAAGCAGACTGGAATCAAAGTATAATGAAGCCAATAAAAATCACTCCTTTGAATTCTGGACCTCCAAAATCCTACCCTCCCCTTTAAATTTTGGATTGGGACACTTACTGCATTTAGAAGAAAATGACCAAGTGATCCATCTCCCTCTTAAAAATCAGGAGAATGATGGGAAATTTTGAAAGAAAAAATAGTTTGGAAAATTCAAGACAGAATTACACTGCATTTACCTGGAAATAGAAAGTAGCAATATTTTAATCCTTTGGAGATCTCCCTTCTATCTGTTCTTCACTGTCAATATCTGTATTTTTCTTCTATCATTAAACTTGTCCCTTTCCTCTCTGCCTGTTTGGGTTTTTTTCTTTGGTTTAGTTGCTACTTTTTTTCTTTCACTTACATGTACAGACTGACAGTATATTTTAGGGGAAATCTATTTTCTATGCTATTCCATTAATATGAAATCTCCTCCCTCCCCTTCTTTTCCCCTTCCCCTTCCTCTTCCCCTTCCCTTTCCTCCCACCTTCAGTTTTCTCTGAAGTTACATATACCATTATAGGTAGAAGCTTAAGATGCTAGTATCTACTTGGAATAAGGATACCCTACCAAATATAAGTAGTGCTTTTAGAGAGATACATAGAAATCCAATCAGCCTCATATTGCTTTACATGTTTTTACTCACAGTTTCCTCCTGCAAAATATGTCTTTAAATTATAATCACACTTCTGTACTTGTTCACCACCCCAAGAATATTTCCTTATATGATGAGATTTTTAGCAGTTTTGTACTTCCACCACAAGTGTTGATGTTGATGCATGTGGCTACTAACAAGATACAGCAGCCTACACAGCATGGCCACCAGTTCATATCAGGCTCGGGCCAGTAACTTTTGTAATTTATCACCAGCTACTGAGTATCCTATGTGAATTACTGAAATCTAACTTCTAGGTTTATATATGCCTACACGGCATACCACTTTCCAAGTAAGAAATAACAGGCATTATTCTAATTATCGGCAGAAGAAACAAGAGGTAAAGCTGGGATATATTCTCATCCAAAGGAAATCAGCACTCCAGAAAGACAGAAGTCAAGTTAATAGGAGCTAAAGGAGAGCTGAGGACTGAAACAGAACGTTTCAGTTTCCTGAGTCATCTGTCTAGAACTAAATTCACTTGAGAGACAGAAATGAATAATTGTCGTCTTTAAAATCATTTTGCTCTTTCTTTCATTTCCAGCACAACCCAAAAGTTCACTTAGGAAGTCAACTAAATCATATGCATGTTTACGGCAATAAGCAAAAAGTCACCTTCTGTGATAGCAATATAAAATATAACTATTAGCCTATCTTCTCTTTACTTTTTCCAAGAGAAAAGGAAAATTTGGATTTGGATCACATTTGGATTTTTTGCTCTTATTCAAATACAAATGTTTCATATGGCCTATAGCAATGACAGAAAGATTTTTTAAAGCACCAGTAAGAGTTAAAAGCAAAAGCCCCAGTGACACTAGTCCTCTTAACTCAGCTAAGATCTTTTGAAAATCCCATTCAAAGTCCAGCTCTGAATTCAATTTCATACATACACATCATTCTACATGCATAGTGCTTGGATTCAACGTGGCTTCAAGACTCTTTTTACTAACCAGGTAAGTCCGTAATTCTTATTAATATTTCAGAAGACTAGCCTACTTAAAGTAACAGTTTTATCCAAAATGTAATCTCTTGTGAAGCAGATATTTAGAGGAAAGTTGAGCTGTTCATTGTCATGGGTCCAAATTAAAAGCTAATGATGATGTCAAACATAGCTGAAATGTCAAGAAAATAAACGGTTTGTGTAGAGAGGAGCCGTCTGAAATTTCACTTTGAAAGGGCAATGAGCTTTTGTAAATGGTTTTCTGAAAAAGCTATTAGAATTATTGGAATATAATATGACAAGGCTACCAAGATGCAACTGTTACATTTACTATTCAAGAATATTTAACGGTGAACTTCAGGACACCTGTAATAAGCATACTTGTAGTATGTTCACGTGAAAAGAGGAATTTAAATGCTTTATGTTATTTTTAGCACATTCAATTATAGCTGGAGGTATTATGGTGCACCAGTTTGGATCTCACGTTCTATACAGCCTTTTCATGAAAACAGCTACCTCAATCAAGGGTTTATATACTTTCAATTTCTGATTCAGTTATAAACCTCTTGTTAAAAAACCTGAATTGAAAAGGTTTGGTTTAAAGATGAGTAGCTTTTAGACAAGAAGTTAAAATTTCTGTTGCAAAAATAAAAGAAAAAAATTAGTTCTTGAATGAAGAACTGCTTAACTTCTCTCCCCTTCTCTAGAGGAACCACTCTTACCATGTTCCTGCTCAGCAAAAGATAACATAGTATGAGACAAACAGAAAGATATTTCAATGATTTTTTTTTTTTCTGTAGGAACATTTACAGAGTAAACATTACCATCTCTTAAAAGAAAGCCTCATTCTTTTGCTTTCTGTTCTCTTATGGAAGAAATAATTTTGCTAGTGTCCTAAGACGTGACAATATCCAGTGACAATGAGCTGCCTGGTTTCAAAAGCACCTGGCTGATGGTGTGGGACTTTCTAATACACTCATATCAAGGCTTGCAGCAGGGAATACACAATTCTTTCCTAGACACACTGGCAATTCACTTTGAGGTCAAGCCAATGCTATTTTGAGATCAGCCATCAAAAGGACGTTTCAGTTAAATTTTGCCTGAAGTCTTCTTGCACTGATCCTCATTTTATATATCTGGATTTATTTTATTTATTTTATTTTGTACACCTAGTTTTATTTTATATGAGACATTCAAGACTTGAGACACAAAATCAGCCCTAAAACTGCAGTGACCCATTTTGCTGTCACCGCAGCTATCATGTGGTAATGAGTTTCTTTTCTTTTTGGCAGAGTGCTGTTATTATTCACACTAAAACAAATGTTCAGAATTCACACAAATTTGTATTTGAAGTAAGGAAATACTAAGAGGTTGAGGTATCAGCAGGCTCCAAAAATTAGGAAGTGAGGGGCTGGTGTGTGGTTCAGAAACGAAAAAGAGTGCTAAGTGGCCGAGCAGCAATTTTGAGAGAAAAAAACTACTAGGATTAGAGGGAGCCAAGCAGTGGGAAGAAAATGCCAGGAAAAAAGCAAGAGACTGACCAGGATAAAACACCTATCAGAGGATCATGAAATAGTGAAGGTACAGGAGAAGAAAACAATCAGCAAGAAGGGTTTAATTATTCTGCACAGAGCTGGCTGACTATTTCCGGTCTTTTGTTGAAATTGTCTAGATTATTCTTGGATGACAGAGTGCTCACATCACTGGACATTACTTTTTTCCTCTACTATTTA